ATAGGACTGTCGTAAAGAATGAAGAAAAACAAAGGTGTCACACAGCCTGGGCAGGCAAGCATTAGTTATCAGTCACCCCATCTTCTGTAGCCCAGAAAGCTCTGTCAGCCAACATAGTGCCCCAGACAACACTTAGCTCCAGATCAACCGGGAGCACCAGCTTCAAGTTCTCCAAGAAGCCTGCAGGGCCCAGCCAGGCCGCCTATGCATTTATTTCCCTTCTGCAAGCTTCCAGGCAAAAACCTACTTAGCCTCTAAGCTAAAATGGCAATGACCTAAAGAAATGCAGGAAAGGCTGGCCAGGGAGATGTTATCAGTGAGCTCTGGGTCCCCTGTGACCCCTCTGCTCAGCCCTTGACCCAATAAAAAGCACCTGAGGGCCCTCAAAAGAACCAGCACTTTTAGGAATAATTTCCCCAGAGTGGGCCCTCCACGTGGGTATCTGGGGTATTTGTCCCCAAACCTCTCACTTCTTATCCCCAGTTTTAATGTCCCATCACAAGATTTCATTCCCATTTTCCAGGTGTTGCTCATGCTAGGTATTGACTTTGTTTTCTTTAGAGTATTTATTACCCTCACTAAGTTTTATGTTTTATGGTTCTGGAGAAGACCGCAGGGTGGGGCCTGCTAGGCAAGGGCACTACAATGGAATTACATCCCAAGACATGAGGATTTCAAAATGCAAACACCCTCTGAGAAGGGCAAAGCACGAAATGTCTAAGGCCCCCCCCAGGTTGAATGAATGGGGGTTCTTTCTTGGGGGACAGCAGAGGGCTAGCTGTGTTTTGCAAATGGGGGGAGCCAAATAAAATTCAGAGGGCAGAAGCGAACTACAGACTAAAGGACCAGGACACAGCCGCATCTTTTTCTGCAGGGGCTGTGGAGCACCCATCTCTGTCTCCTCCTTCCTTTAGCCTTCCACCATGGAAGCAGGCCCTAGAAGTGCAGCTGCTGGGCGAGTCGGGTTCCCAGAGCAAGAGCAGCCCCGGCCTGGCCTGGCTTAGCTTGGTGGCTTGGCTCTGCTGCAGCGGCACCACCCCCCCAGCTCTGGGGGAGGGAGCTCAGAACCAGTGCCTACTCGCTCCCCAACAAGTTCAGGGCTTAGAGTTCAGGTAATTAAGCCCTTGGCAATCTCACCTGAGCATGCCAATAAAACTGAAATAAACACCTTCAGCCCCTCTCCAGAGAGGAAAAACAGGGAGGGAAGAGAGGGGAAAAACACTTTTTTAAAAAAATGACGGATTCAAGTCCTGGCAATCAGAAAGGAGAACACTAGAGTTCCATAAGATAGCCCCTCTAAACACCCCCTGCTCCACAATCCTGGTTGTCCCTTCTGCCACACAACATTGGTGGCCTCTGACTGACACCATTATCCAGGGTAACAGTGGCCAACCTGAACAGGAAGCAATCAGGGAGGGTGAAAGTTTTATGGGGAGGGCTTCCCTTTCCCCCAGCATGTCTCAGCATAGTGAGAGGGAAAGGCACCAGAGTCCTCACCCCACCCCAGGAGCCACAGCGATCCACTGAAAAAGTCCAAAGGGACACTTCAGAGTGTGAAAGAGCAGCTCCGTTTCATGCTGCCTTGTGTTACAACCAACTGTTGAGATCTTAATCCATGCCGGGGCTCCTGCAGGATGGGGCCTATTCTTTATCCCTACCTTGGTACAGTGCCCAACCCAAGCAGGCATTTCCTTTTCTCCATAAATAATAGGCATTAATATTCCTTGTATATGATCGCACTGGCATGGAATGGAGTTCCACACCTGGCCCTGTTTACTATCTCTCATTCCTGGGACACACAGCAGGAGAGAATTTCTGTAAAGTGGCAAGGTGGGTGAGAACATAGTTTAATAGTAGTAAATCTACTGCATATTAGGTCTCTGGCATACTCTATTAGGATTCTCTAATTTAATCTTTCCTACAGGATAGGCACTGTTATTGTTATCCCAATTTACAGATTAGAAAACTGAGCCCAACAAAGAAATTCGCAAGTTTGGTCAAAGTCACACATAACTGTTTTCCTCAATACTTTAACTGAAGGCTTCCATTCTATGCTAAGAATAGGAAGAAGGGGAAGTCTTCCTATTTCAAAAGACCCCTATCTACTCTTGCCCAACAGGAAGCAGTCAGCGAGGGTGGAAAAGGGCCCAGCAACACGCTGTCCTTGTAACTAGCCTCCCGGCATCGGCGGACTTCTCTGGAGTGGTCACTCTCCTTGGTGTGCTGGAGCGCTGGAAGGTGCCAAGGGCTGCGCAAGCAACCACCCCTGCCTTTCCTAAGGCAGACCCTGTAGAACCTCCTCGAGTTGACTGTCCTCTCCTTGGAGAGATCTGACGGGTGGAAAGTGGGTGCACTGTGGCGTCCTCGGGAGTTGAACTGGGCAACTGGAAACCTATCACTTCCTTCCCCCCACCCCCGCAGGCTCAGCTCTGCTTCGCGCAGGGAGACATGGGCAATGCAGTCAGTCCTTGGGCCCTGTCGCTCCCCCAGGGCTGAAAACCTCGCTGCAGCCTAGGGCTGGAGCCCGCGGAGACACCCCATCCAGCCTCGGTGCACGCGCAGCAGGAAGCGCCTCGGAGGGGCCAGGCGCGCGCCAAGCTTGGTGGACGCCCCCGCTACCCGCCCTTCCTCTCCTGCCAGGCTCTGTGGCCAGAGGCCTGGGCCTGTGGCTAATTTTTCACGCCCCCCAGACCGCCTCCCTAGGTGACGCTACAGCCTGTGCGGTTCCTTTAAAGGCTGCGGGTTCCGCTCTTCTTTCCTTTTCCACTGGATGCCAAAATGTGCAAATCCGGGGACCGGAATCTGCAGCCAAATAGAGATGGAGAAGGGGCGCGGCCGGCGCGTCACCGGATCCGCTCCTTGTATGGCTCTTCCCGGCTTGGCCCGCCGCCCTGCGACCCTCCCTGCAGCCGCGGGGCCCCTCCCTCACCCAGCGCGGCTCACACTGCCACCCACGCCCCCGACCGGTCGCTCGCCACCCCCAAGGGAGGGAGCCGGGGGCGGGAGGCACAGCCTGCACAGATTCCGGCCAGAGCTGGGCTCGGCTGCAGCGCGCTGCCTCCCCGCGCCGCGCGGGCGGAGGAGAGCCGGGGCGCGCTGTGCCTTCACCGGGGAACTGGGAGCCCGGCGGGAGAGGCGGCGGGGGTGGCGAGAGGGGGCTCGCGGGCGGCGGGAATCCCTCCATTCCTAAGAACTAGAGATCTGGAGGAGGCCGGGCCTCCCATCCTCCGCTCCCCAAGTGGAGAGAGGGGAGGGAGCAAGGTTGTCATCCGCCCCCTCTACAATGCGCAGCTCGGGAGTTCCTCCCACACTTCCCCGGCCCGCATGGCCCTCCCACGGCGTGAGGCCCGGGGATCCTCTCTTCCTCCTCGTCGACACTCCCACTCCCCGAGACATGCACGTTCCCCCAGCCTCGACTCCAACAGGGGACGCGGGATTCACCGTGCCCACGCGGCCACCGAGGAGGGAATCCTCCCCCGCCAAGCCGGTGTGACTCCGGGTCGCGCTTCCATGCTCCCTCCACCTCCTCCTTGCCCGGGCCTGGCCGCGAGCGCCTCAGGAGCAGGCCTGGGGAACACAATACCCGCCCCCGGGATCCGCTACCGCTCAGCGAGGTGACAGCGCTCCGGGTCTGCACACAGGCCTCCTTTGGCTGCGGGGCGCCGACAGGCGGCACTGAGGACAGCCCTGTGGAGGGGGGTTGGGGTGGGTGCAAAAACTAGAAGGCGCCGAGGAAGTGCAGGGCCAGTGGGTTCCAGCGGTCGGCGCGCTCTGCTACAACTCAGCGGCGAGCCCTTCGCAAGCAGCAGCAGATAGTGACTGTGCCTGGGCCTGCTGGGACCTCCTGCCATCCTGTGGCCAAAGAGGTTGCTTTAGAACTGTTCGGGAGTTTATTTAGTGCACGTGTTTTCTATCTCCTAAACTTCATGCCTTCTTCGCCACCCAAACCGCACATCCTCAGCCCCAGATGTATGGGGCTCTCGCCTCCCGCGCCGCCGCTGGGGCGCAGCCCGGAGTCAGCGCCGGGTCAGAAGCCCCGGGCGGGGCAGGGGTTGTGGGCGGCAAATCAGAGTGAAGTCCGCAGAAAAGTTCTCAGGGTCGTGGACCGAGGACACTTTGAAACCCCACCACCATCCTAGCCAACAGGAAGCACTTAAGTCTGAGGCCTGGGTAGGGACTGTGCGCCTTGAGGAGCGTCGGGGAGCAGGGTCCAGCGGGCCCCTTCCAGAATCCCCAGCAGTTTCCTGGGCCGCCGCCGGGTGTATTCATTTCTCTTTCTCCTTGCTGGGGTAGTCTGAAGGCAGTTCCAAACAACCCCACCCTCTGAACCCTCCCCCAAACGCACCCTATAATGCAGACCTGAAATAAGCCAGGGCGTGTGTGTGCGCGCGCGCACACACACACATTCACACGCTGGTTTTTCAACCGCGCGTTTAGCGCTTTGCATCCAGCTGCATCCCTGCTTTCTTCTTTCCTCTCGCGTTTTCCTTCTTTTTTCTCTTATTTGTCTCTGTCTTTTTTCAAGAGCAGCATGTAGTGCAGGGCTCTTGCACGTTGGCTGCGGCCCGCTTCCTGCTTTCTAATGTTCCATTGTGAGGAGCTTCCATTGTGACGTCGCGCCCCTTCGGCTGGGCTTTGTCTGTCCATATATGGGCAGCTACGTCACGGAGCTTTCCCGGGGCTCAGATAAATAGGCTGGTGGAGTTCCCTGGCTGGGAGCTTTTGGGCAGCAGTGAGCTTGCTAGCGAGCGGCGGGGCTGGTGGTGGTGGTAGCGGCGGCGGCAGCGGCGACAGAGGCGGCGGTAGCAGCAGCATCGGCGGCGGTGGCGGGGGGGGGGGGGGGGTGAGGGGGGGGGGGGGGGGTGGCGAGCGCGTGTCTGTTTGTGAGATCAATTCTGAGGCCGCGTCCGACCCCCGAAGCCGAGGTCCCCCCCAGCCCAGCCCTCACCCCACCCCTGTACACGCCCCACCCCCCACCCGCGACCCAGCCTCGCACGGCACTAGCGGAGGCGCCCGAGAGGATCACCCCCTTTGCCCCCCTCCCACCCACCCTCCCCCCAAAAGAGAAGATACCCTCCCCTGGCCCACCCCTTCCCCTCTTCCCTCCTCCCCCCGAACTTTCCCTCTCGCATGCTTTTTCCCTGCACCACGGATCGACTCTCGGATGCCGCTTGCCTGGAAGCTGCGTTAGGAGCGAGCGGCGGCGGTGGCCGCGGTGGCGGTGGCGGCGACAGCTCGGGAGTGCTATGACCGGCAAACTCGCCGAGAAGCTGCCGGTGACCATGAGCAGTTTGCTAAACCAACTGCCTGACAATCTGTACCCCGAGGAGATCCCCAGCGCGCTCAACCTCTTCTCCGGCAGCGGCGACTCGGTAGCCCATTACAATCAGATGGCTACAGGTAAGGGCGGAGGGGAGGCGGTGAGGCAGGAAAGGGAGAAGAGGAGGAGGAGGGAGCGAGCTAGCTGCGGATGGATGGCTGCGTGGATGGAAGGATGGATGGATGGATGGATGGATGCATAGATGGATAGATGGATGGATGAAGGGGGGGCGCTGGAAATTATCCAGAGGGCGAGTTGCTTTTCCCACCCACTCCTCCCGCCCTCCTCAATCGGGAAGGCTTGGTTGGCGACGCCACCGTAGAGGCTTTGGTTCTCCCGGGTGGGGGCAGCCGCCGACCAGAGGGAGGTAGGTGCGAGCAGCTCTGGGGTTCTCCCTCCCCACGCAGGGGGCCCGATCTCTGGGCTGCGCGCAAGGCGTGGTGCTGTAGCCCCCTTTCTCGGGAGGAGCCCAGCGTCTTTTTCACCCGCGCTCTCCCCCCTTACTCCCTCAGCCTCCCACCCGGGATGGAGCCATGTGCAGCGTGGAGTCCCCGCGGTGGGAGAGGTACTGCGACGCTGCCTTTCCAGGGCGTTCAGCAAAGCCGTGGGGGTGCGGGGACGGCGGGGAAAGGGAGGGGCACTAGCGGGGGGCTGTCACGGGGGGCCATCCCGGGACCACGGAGCTTGGGAAGGGCTGCTGCTCCCTCCACGGAAACATCGGCCGGTTTTCCACCGCCCTCCACCTTGCTAGCTGGGGCTGGGCTTCTCCCCACCAGCAAGAGCTGAAAGCTCCTTCAGGCCCAGAGAAGGCTGGGGCTGGGGGAGGCGAAAGGAGAGCTCTCTTCTCGGGCGGCACCCTTCCACGCTCTGAGGACAAAGCGTCAGAGCGCTCCGGTCTGCGACCTGGGCGCAGCGCGCGAAGGGGGCATTGCCTGGGCGGTAAAGACGCGGTGTCCTGGAGTAGACAGGGCCGGGGAAAGAGGACGAGTTGTGTGCGCTGGAGAGCTAGAGCCCCGCTCACTCCGGGTCTGAAACTACCTGTAGCTGCAGCTACCTGCCCGCCCCACCTCGGGAAGAACAACAATGCTTCTCGCGCTCGTGCGCGTGTGTGTGGTACGTGAGTGTGTGCGTGGCGTGTGCGGAGTGTGTGCCGCAGCCTCTCCACACCCCGATCCGTAGTATTTTGCTGTATCCAGGTTGCGCTCGGGAGCGCGGCACCGCCCGCTTTGCGCTCAGCCTTCCTCTTACCCATGCGCTGCGCACTCCAGCCGGCCGCACCCTCCGTACCTGGGCGAGGACCTGGGTGCAGCGCAGGAGCCAGCTTGACTTCACTAACCCCTTCCCTCTCTCCCCTGCTCTCCGCAGAGAATGTGATGGACATCGGTCTGACCAACGAGAAGCCCAACCCGGAACTCTCTTATTCGGGCTCCTTCCAGCCAGCCCCCGGCAACAAGACCGTGACCTACTTGGGAAAGTTCGCTTTCGACTCCCCTTCCAACTGGTGCCAGGACAACATCATTAGCCTCATGAGCGCAGGCATCTTGGGGGTGCCCCCGGCCTCAGGGGCGCTCACCACGCAGACATCCACAGCCAGCAGCATGGTGCAGCCGCCGCAGGGAGACGTGGAGGCCATGTATCCGGCGCTGCCTCCCTATTCCAATTGCGGTGATCTCTACTCGGAGCCCGTGTCTTTCCACGACCCCCAGGGCAACCCAGGGCTCGCCTATTCCCCCCAGGATTACCAATCGGCCAAGCCGGCTTTGGACAGCAATCTCTTCCCCATGATTCCTGACTACAACCTGTACCACCACCCCAACGACATGGGCTCCATTCCGGAGCACAAGCCCTTCCAGGGAATGGACCCCATCCGGGTCAACCCGCCCCCTATTACCCCTCTGGAGACCATCAAGGCATTCAAAGACAAGCAGATTCACCCGGGTTTTGGCAGCCTGCCCCAGCCACCGCTCACGCTCAAGCCTATCCGGCCCCGCAAGTACCCCAACCGGCCTAGCAAGACCCCGCTCCACGAGCGGCCCCACGCGTGCCCAGCGGAGGGCTGTGACCGTCGCTTCAGCCGCTCGGACGAGCTGACCCGGCACCTGCGCATCCACACGGGCCACAAGCCCTTCCAGTGCCGGATCTGCATGCGGAGCTTCAGCCGTAGCGACCACCTCACCACCCACATCCGCACGCACACGGGCGAGAAGCCCTTTGCCTGCGAGTTCTGCGGGCGCAAGTTTGCGCGCAGCGACGAGCGCAAGCGCCACGCCAAGATCCACCTCAAGCAAAAGGAGAAGAAGGCAGAGAAAGGGGGTGCGCCCTCTGCATCCTCGGCGCCCTCCGTGTCTTTGGCCCCCGTGGTCACCACCTGCGCCTGAGGCTCGGGCTGCCAGGCCCCCTCTTTTTCCCTCCAGTGCCTCCCAGCTGCTCGCTTGAAAGCAGCGGGAAAGCCAGCCACGGAGGCTCAGGGGCCGCGCCCTGGCCTCTCCATGGACGTGCGGCCCCTTCACCCTTCGATGCCCCCGCTCCCACCCTTTCACACCCGCCTGCGGTTGGGGGCCAAGGCTGGAGGCGCCTTCCCCTCGCCGTCCCCCCCTTAACCGAGGCGTGGGGGCGGAAAGGTGGCGTCTAGCCCGCTTTGTTCAGTTCGGATCGCCTTGATCCAGGGGCCGCTGGGCCGCTCTAAGGACCTGCGGGGGACTGAAAGGGGCCCACCCCAACCCTCGCCGGACCCAAGCACCTCACTGGTTCCCCCATGTCCCCCTCTGTCCCCCATCGGAGACCCGAGAGGGGGCGGGGGTATGGAGCGCACCAAAGCGCAGAGCTTGCTGCCCGCCGCACGCACGCGCGCCTGCGTGCGGGGATGCGCGCGAGTGTGTGCGTGCTCGCGTGTGTGTTTGTGTGTGTATATGTGTGTGCGCGCGCACGCGTGTGTGTGTGAGAGACTCTTGAACTGAACTGGGCTGTGTCTACCCTAAACTCTTCCCCACATCGGGTCCCCAAGGTGCCGGGGATGTCCCGGGCTGGGAGCCTGCACGTGGCAGGAGGAGATGGTCTTCCATCTGCTCCGAAATAATGTTTCTTACAGAAATGCCTCGGATACCGCTGCCGCGGTGCTGCTGCCGCCGCTTTGGGTTTGACCCCTCGAAACCCCTCCCTTTCTGAGTGCTTGCCTCTTAGGCCTCAGGGCACTTTGATCTGCGGGGAGAAAGCGTCCGCCACTGAGCCTGCCTTTTAAAAATGTATTTCCTCGGCCCCACTTCTGAATCCGGGTTCCCGAGTTTGGCCTCTGCCCTTACCCACGCTCCTCCTCTCTTCTCTCTTAGCCTTGTCCAAGTGCGTCTCAAAATCTTTTCCCAGAAAGGCAGGCCTCAACCAGCCACCAGCTTTTCATTTGCTCTCACCTACATACCCATTCCTCCTTCCCACCTTTCATGAGAGAGCTGGCTCTGGTTGTTTTTGCCCAACTGATTGAATTTAAATATAAGTATGTGATGTGTGTATGAATGTGTATGTGTGTACAAAAACGCACAGACATACATATATATAATATACACACAATATGTATTCCTAGCAAAAACAAATCTCTAAGGTACTTGGTTATCCAGTGCAGCACACTGGAATAAAGAGAATCTGTAGGCATCTACAGCTTTAAATGATTTATTTTTATGAAAATGTTAACTAATGAGATTATATCTACATATGTGTGTATGCATGTGTGAATATACCTAATCACATACATGCATATGTGTGTGTATATATGCATACACATCTCTGTCCAAATTCTCCTCAAAGATACATGAGGATTTTTGCATCAATTCATGTAAATGAATGAAGCATCTCTTTTTCCATACCCCAGTCTCACCTTCTTCCTGCCCTACCTCACCTCTTCTCAGGCGCCCCTCTCCCCCAGTGGCCCCTCCCAGCCCTCCCTCGCACAGGGTGGCCCTTTGGGATTGGAGAAGTAGGGAAGGGTGCTCTCTGACACAGCTGCCAGCAGTCTTGACTGAATGTACTGTTCCCTATTCGCGTTATTTCTCCTGCGGCCAGAAAGCTGCCCAGAGAGAAGGAACAAAGGTCTGGAGTTTACAGAATGTCTGTTTTTAAAGTCACTTTATGCGTTTCCCACTTTTTTTTTTTTAAATAAAAAAAGCACCGTTTTGGTGGTGGATAAATAATACTAAAAGGACTCTAGGGGAGAGAAACTCAAAGAGCAGGGGGATTGTGAATTTCCAGGTACGGGGGCTTTTTGTAGGAGAGAGAAGAAGATGAAGTTTGCCAGGACGGCCCATATTTTTTCAGCTGAAGGGTAAAATCTTTCTTTGCAGAGACAGTATTTTGCTGAATACTTTTTATAATGTGATGATTATTAAAAAACAAAAAATTTTGGTCACTTCAAAGCTGGAAGGAGGAATCAGATATCCTTTAATATTTTTTCCTTACTCCTTCTGGAATATGCATGTCACTGCATGGTAACTGAGTTTTCCTTTGTTTTAATAAAACTGTTCTCAGACATTTAAGCTAAACTAAGAGAAAAATAACTTTGTTGCCAAAAGGTTGTGCTATTGGGATTTTTTTTATATGTCTGCATGTTTTAAAAACCAACAAAAGAAAATGCACTCTAACTTATGTGAACTGAGAGAAAAAAAAATCAGGTTTTAAACAGGAAAACCTATGGGGGATGATATTTTTTGAAAGACTTTTGTATAAAGTTGAGTACTTAGAAAAAGACAAACCAGATGTAATATATTTTGTGGATGTTTTTATTTCTTGGATTTATAGTACCTTATACTAAGGTTAAAAAATGCTTGATATTGTGAAAAGGTGAAATTCTTCACCAACATTTCATTTGCTCCTTTGTCACATTGTTATGCCAATATAATATAGTTAATGAAAACAGCATTTTTAAAAACCGAAATATTGAAATGGTGTAATGTTGTACCATTTGCACTGTGAGCAAATGCCAATACAGTAAATATATTGTGTTTGCTGACAATCAGCCGGCCTTTAAATCTCCTTATTTTATTTCTTGTTTTCATAGCATAAAGTTTTGGTTTGGCCTGTTTTTCGTCTCATTTTGTTTTTGGCTGGTGGTTTGTTTCATAGGTTACTCTGCTTGGTTTTGCTGTTCTTGCTCTGAATATTCTTAAAGTGGAAATGTGGAACCTGGTGGTAGGAGTTGCTCAGAAATTTGATATGGATTCCGGTGTGTCATATCTAACTTGGAGTGCTTATGGTAGCTTTAGGAGAACAGGGTTCCACTCCACCCTTCTGGGAATCTCAAACTGCCAGGGAAATTAGGTGAACAATTTGAATAAACTCTTTGAGAGTCAGGGCTGGTGACTGGAATTTTCTAGAACCCTCCCAGTGGTTTCCAACGTGTAACTGTCTTGGTTTGTGAATTGTTTCTCCAGTCGTCTTAAAGAACTTCCCATTAGGACCTTGCAGGGCCTCTATAGGCGCACAAAGTTGTTCTCTTGCTTAAACTTTTGAAGTCTGAAAAACAGGTGGAGACTTGACAGGGGTTCTTTAAGGTTGGCAAAATAACCGGAGAGATTGGCAGTTCTTTTGTGGTCAGGTAATTGGGGGAAAATCAGATTTTAAAGTTCTACAACTTTAATCTGTCTTGGACAAGATTCCCCTAGGCCTCACTACTTGTCAATCCCTGGGAAAGTTGATCCTTGTTGGAAATAGTTTTTAATGAATGACCCAAAGATGTGATGCTTTTAAGGGAAGCAAGAACATTTGGGGTTTGGAGAACACACTGGGAAGATTTCTGTAGCATTACATATTTCTATCTCCCATGAAAGCAGTGTTTCCCCTGCCCTACAAGCTATCTTCCCCAGGACATTCTTCATCCTTAACTGAGATGACGGGCCAGCCTAGATTTTTTCCTTTGCCCTTGATGACATGCATGCCCTTCATTGCTTGTGTCTGCATGTCCATCTTCTCCCTTCATCTTATTCTTACTTTAGAATCCTTTAACCCTGTGAGGCTTGTTCTAGAGCAATCTGTGTACCATTCAGCCCCCTATTCCACTCTTTTCTCATGCCTGTCAAATAGAACATTCACCTGGGCTTCTCTGTGTGTTTCATATACCATCTGCACCAAAGTTTGGGCCTTGGTGTATGACACCAGACTATGTAAGTATAGCACCAGAATGTGACCAGAACCAGTATCTCAGCCCCTGAGGTGCCAACCAGGCCAACCTTGAAGCCACAGAAATGTGTGCCTGCTCAGAAACTTCTTACAACATCAGTGCAGGCCCAACATGTGAGAAATACGGATGGTCTTTCTGTTTGGCTATAGTTACCAAGAAGTTGAGGCCAGAGCTCAGAAGTGGAGGTGAGCTGTGGCCTTAGAAGAGAATGTTTTTAAAGTGAGAGATGAATAAAGAGAAGCATGGCATCTTAAGTTCTTGCACCCACACAATTCTAGGTCACTGGCTACCATCTTGAATTCCTTTTTCTTACCTCATGAAACTAAGAAGTCCAAACTGCAGTTTTTTAGAGACACATAGAGATACCCTTTTTTAGCAAAAAGAATCCAAAATGGTTGAAAATCTATCTCTTTGCTAAATTGGATGTTTCAGACTTCTGTCTGCTTTTCAAGTAAACATTATCAGAGCTGAAGATACTATCACTGGGTGTCTTCATACTTACCAAACTGCCCCGCCTGCACCTTCTCCAATCAAACCTGGCCTTCAGAGTTACACTTTTGTCAACAGGGTACTATGCTACATGATTAATAAACTTACTTCCCATTGGTGGATATTACTCAACCCAACCTGGTTCAACCACTGGGTTACGTGGCAATATGGCAGCCAGCCTGGCTGGCACCAGCCCCATGTGGTGTAATCACTGATTCACACTTTGTAGCTAGATAAGGCTGTCCCAGATAACATCACACCAGCTACCCAACCTGTCTGGATTTTGTAAATATGGGGAGAGGAGACTCCACCATGAAACCTAGAGATGAAGCACTGAGATGGTAGAAGAAAGGCCTGGGAATGTGGAAAGGGGCTTCCATGAGAAGGAATTGCTAGGCCTTAAAGAAAAGACTATGGAGTGAAACCAGGCATAAACGTATGGAAGTAAAGGGCCAGCAAGATTGCTCAGTGGACTAAGCCTCTGCTTAGGCAAGTGCAGGGACCAGGGTTTGATTGCCACATGCAACATAGCCCCACCCCCTGGCGTGGTGGCGCATGCCTATAATCCCACTGCTGGGGAGATTGAGATAGGATTACTAGGATTCTGAGCTGTGTAGTGAGACCTTGTACCAAATACACTAAAAAAAATTTTTAAAAAGGAATGGAAGTAGTAGAGATGTATCTCCTGCCTCCAGTCCCCAAGATGTGAATTACAGCGCACCATGTACACATATATGTACATGTGCCTCCTTGGGAGCACATCTTGAAAGTGATGGCTCTTTGCAGAACTGTACTTGGTGAACTGTGATTGGATATAAATGAGATCATTTTGAAAATGTGAGGCAAAGTACCATGTATGTTTTTGTATGGTGGTGGTAGTGGTGGTACATGTGTGTATGTATTCACAATTAGGAATAGCAAGGTGGATTCTGGTGAATGAAAGCTACTGCTCACTGTTTGATAGTCTAGGATTTGTCTACCATATATGAAGGGGTGGTAAGGTGTCTTTTCCTTGGCCTAATGCACTTCCTGGTATTCTGGAGTAAAAGTAGGAGGTCTCTGTGTCCCAAAGACTAGAAATCATACTGGCAAAACTTAGTGACCAGTGGAAAGTCTATAACTTTCTAAAAGATATCTTCTGGTTTTTAAAGTAGGTCATGGTCCTAAATCTATCCCAAGGGTTCTTTTCAGAAAATCCAGTGTTTGATCAAAGAAAAGAGATCTCCAGAAGAAGGGAAGTATCTAAGTAAGCCTTAGAGACCTTTGACCAGACCAGTCCCAAAGCCAGTCCTGAAGATGTCTGTTCGTTTTCACAGCTCGATACCAGAACAACAGTAAAGCAGGGTGGAAAGCAATGTTGAGGGGGCATTGCCCAACCTGCAGTAAAACCGCTGGTGTGCCAGACCATGCCAGGCCACAGAACAGGCCCAGGCCCTGGATAGTGAGTTCCTTTCCTCTCTTAGCTGGTTCTTCTCTGGTTGGGAAAAGAAGCAGCCTCTGACCCCCATTCTGCTGGCCACTTGGGCCTCTGACTCCAGGGGAGAAACACTATATCTTCCTCTCTAGGGGAAACACAGATGACTAAAAGAATTTTCTGAGTAATTTTACTAAAGAGCTCATGCAAACAGAACGTGGCCACAAAGCTGCAAACAGGAGAAAAGTCAACAAAATCTTCTGTTAGGCTGGGTGGGAGTTGGACCACCAGATGGTTTCTTCATCATTGCCTAACAATCTTCCTGGCCTTGCCTCGGTGGAGTCCCCCAGTACATTGTCTTGGCCTTGGGACACATGGCTTCTGTGTGTCCCTGGTTGACTGAGATACTGCTCTGGTTCCAAGGTCCCTGGATGAAAAAGATCCTTTCTGTGGACCTCAGAAAAGCTTTCCCTGGACCTCAGACCTTCCTTACTGCCCCTGCAGGTGCCTACTTTACCCTTGAGGCCTCCAGGCCTCCACTATTCTCCCATCTCCTCACTTCAGTTGTTTCTCTGGGCCCCACTCATCTTGTGTGAAGCATGATTGGGTCA